CACTGTATCAATTGTCCATAACCACTCACAGCGACCGGTGCCTAGGACCTTTCCACTATTTAAACGCTGTGATTGGCTGGTATCCAATTGCAACGTGTTCAATTGACATCCACCCATTACTATACTGAGGATGACACAATACTAAGGGTTGAAACATCTGTAATTTTTATCTTAAATATATGGAATTTGCACTCGACCACCCTGTATTTTGTTCACATTGGCTTTGCATCCATTCTGTTAATTTGTATTTTCTTGTAGATTAATGTTATTATTTTTAATTTTATATTGATTTTAACGTGTGTGTAGAAGCCTTACCTAACAACCATACATTTCTCCTTCCATTTTCATACTGGTTCAACATATGCCTCGATAACCGAGACGAGTTCCAAACTCTAGCATCATGTGTCCGACCTCCGTGATTTGCCGCTACTGCTAGTATAATGCCATAATAATCACTAACCTAAAGTATAAAATGTGTTGTTATTAAATGTGTCTTTATGTGTATACAATACATCCTTAAAGTTTTGCATTCTATAAAGGCTATGTTCTAAAATTGACTGCCTATACTGAAAATGTATAGTGTACGTAACGAAAACTATAGCATTTTCAGCACTGACAGTACATTTGGAACACAGCCAAAGTATGTTTCTTAGTAAATGCAAATGTGATTATAGAAATAGCGTATGCTGAGCAGTTGTATCACGCGCGTTCGAGATTTTTCCATATTATCTTGTAGATGTAACAATATATATATATATGTATTATTAAATAATTTGTACTTACTATCATAACATTCAAAGAATGATATAATTTTCTATTTATGTATAAATGTTCTCTTCTTTTCTCAGGTGGAAAAATCGCAATATGTGTACCATCAACAGCTCCTATAACGCTTGGAAAATTGGTATTAATCCAGAATCTGAAATATGATTATGTAGTTTACTGTCTTATAACGTAAGAAATTTTGTAATTTATAAATGTTCTTATATCTTATTGTTACTAAAAAATCAGAATAAAAAAATATTAAAAACTTGTTTAAAAACAGAAAGAAAACAATGTATTGATCGCAACTTACTGTTGTTGGATTGCTTCAATCTCATTAGCTTGTACAGGAAACTTTATCCATTGTTGCATAATGGCATTTATTGCATTTACAATTTCATGTATTGCACCACTAATAGATGCCTGGCACATACTAGTGTCCCTAAATACAGAGTCTGGCCAAGATCCCACAAAATGGCGTCTATAAGTGGTGGGGGTAAATGTTTGAGTGCGTGCACTCTGCACTTTTCACTTTCAGTGCACGAGGACGAAAGTTATTTAGGTTATTTATAGGGTACACACCGTACACACGATGCCTTCTTGTTGCATTTCAAAGTGCAATAATTCGTCAAAAAAACATTATTATATGTCTCGCATTCCAACGGACGTTAAAAGAAGAAACGAATGGGCGAATAAACATATTTATATAATTTTTTTTGACGCGAGAAATTATTAAGTTTGTTTAAGTTTGATTATTTTATTTTGTTTATTTGAGTTACATAATACGGATTAACTGAAACCAAATGAAAGTACAGAAAGTAATTAATGAAGTAATAATTAATTAATAAAATACAGAAAGTAATGAATGAAATAATTAATGAAAGTATAGAAGACACTGTATTAAATATGATAGGAAGATTAACATATACTAGTTGAAGGTATACACTATTATTATCATACAGGATGAGAATATATAATTTGTTACAAATTTGGATACTGTCAATAATTAGATAAAAAATTAAAACTCAAATTCTTGTTGCCTTAATGATAATAAAGTATGTAAGTATCTGTTACATATGACTTTTTCAAAATGTAAAATTAATTTTTTCAATTTTAAGTGATCTTTTCGAACTGTTATCAAAAAGTTTTCTGATTTGATAATATTAATATTGTAATAAATTATATACAATATCCTGCACATTAAGGATTTACGCTTGGACACATTAACGCTTGGAAAATTGGTATTAATCCAGAATCTGAAATATGATTATGTAGTTTACTGTCTTATAACGTAAGAAATTTTATAATTTATAAATGTTCTTATATCTTATTGTTATTAAAAAATCAGAATAAAAAAATATTAAAAACTTGTTTAAAAACAGAAAGAAAACAATGTATTGATCGCAACTTACTGTTGTTGGATTGCTTCAATCTCATTAGCTTGTACAGGAAACTTTATCCATTGTTGCATAATGGCATTTATTGCATTTACAATTTCATGTATTGCACCACTAATAGATGCCTGGCACATACTAGTGTCCCTAAATACAGACTCTTCTTTGATAAGATCCTGAACTCAGAAAACTTAACGTTGCTAAAACCTTAACAATTAAAAAAGAAATATATAAAATAGTTTTGAAAGCTGTTATAATTTGCACCATGTAATTTGCAACGTATAATTATATTTCAAATAATGGATATTTGTATTTAATTTATATTTTACCTTTAATTCAAATAGAATTGCTGTTGGTCTTATAGCTCTTTGCACATAAGGTCGTATGTTTTCACATAATGTCAATACAGCATCTTTTGGAAGCCTGAGCATTAGAAATTTTCAAAATTTCTATTTATTTATAATATATTTATATTGTTATATGAAATAAAATAAGCAAGGTATATAATAGATAATGTAAGCTATAGTAAATTTAAAATTATATACAAACATACATACGAGGTGTGATCAAAAAGTAAGGTGACTTTTTGAATTTCGCGCGCTCTGTACACTCTAATTTAAAAAATTTTTTTTTGTTGTGTTGGTACACTCGTCACGATCATATGTTCACAGTTTTGACTATATAGCATGTTTTGTTTTTATGTGAGAGGCATAAAGGTTAGACTCGTGTTTGCGTGCTCGGCGATTTTTTGCTTTTGAAAATAATGGAGCAGAGAGTTTGTATTAATTTTTGTGTAAAAAATGGTATTAAGTGTTCAAAAACTCTTGAAATGTTGACAGTGGCGTACGGTGAGTCAACTTTGAGCAAAAAAAATGTTTATAAATGGTATAAGTTATTCCAAGAGGGCCGAGAAAATGTTAACGATGAACCTCGCTCTGGACGCCCCAGCACGTCAAAAACCGACGAAAATGTTCAGGAAGTGAAAGAAATTGTGTTGAAAAATCGTCGAATCACGATTAGAGAAATAGTTGATGATCTTAACATATCGTTTGGCTCATGCCAATCAATTTTAACGGATGTTTTGGGTATGACACGTGTGTCAGCGAAAATGGATTCTGCACCATGATAATGCACCTGCGCACACGTCGTTACTAGTGAGTAGTTTTTTGGCCAAAAACAATACTATCATCATGCCTCAGCCACCGTATTCACCAGACTTGGCCCCCTGTGACTTTTTCCTCTTCCCAAAATTGAAAAGGCCCATGAAAGGACGAAGATTTGCGACGATTGAGGAGATTAAGGCTGCATCGCTGGAGGAGCTCAAGGCAATACCCAAAAGTGCATTTCAGAAGTGTTTTGACGACTGGAAAAAGCGCTGGCACAAGTGCATTGTATCAGAGGGGGATTATTTTGAAGGGGATAACATAATTTTGGATGAATAAATGAATATTTTTTTATAAAAATGAAAAGTCACCTTACTTTTTGATCACACCTCGTACATACATACATACATATATATTTATATAAACTGTTTTTATTTTAAAATATATAAAAATTATTTATGTAATTTACACTTATGCTTTCATTTCTTTCTTCATTAGCAGCAATTTGTAAGACCCACCATGCTGCAGCCATTATAACTATGCACAAAAAATATTATTAAAATATAACTACTATAATATAATATATTATATTTCACAAAATTTATTTACATGTATGTATGGTATTTATAATATCATACCCCACCTAAAATCTTAATAAAAATACACTCATTCGACGTGTTTTCACTCAAAATGAAAGAATCTGGCAAAAAAATGCGGCGG